ATTTCATTTCATTAGTCCAATAAGATACAGAACAGTAGGATATAAAACTACATTTCATTTCATTAGTCCAATAAGATACAGAACAGTAGGATATAAAACTCTATTTCATTTCATTAGTCCAATAAGATACAGAACAGTAGGATATAAAATTCCATTTCATTTCATTAGTCCAATAAGATACAGAACAGTAGGATATAAAACTCCATTTCATTTCATTAGTTCAATAAGATACAGAACAGTAGGATATAAAACTTTATTTCATTTCATTAGTCCAATAAGATACAGAACAGTAGGATATAAAATTCCATTTCATTTCATTAGTCCAATAAGGTAAGAACAGTAGGATATAAAACTCAATTTCATTTCATTAGTCCAATAAGATACAGAACAGTAGGATATAAAACTCCATTTCATTTCATTAGTTCAATAGGGTAAGAACAGTAGGATATAAAACTCAATTTCGTTAGTCCAATAAGATACAGAACAGTAGGATATAAAACTCAATTTCATTTCATTAGTCCAATAAGGTAAGAACAGTAGGATATAAAACTCAATTTCATTTCATTAGTCTAATAAGATACAGAACAGTAGGATATAAAACTCAATTTCATTTCATTAGTTCAATAGGGTAAGAACAGTAGGATATAAAACTCAATTTCATTTCATTAGTCTAATAAGATACAGAACAGTAGGATATAAAACTCCATTTCATTTCATTAGTTCAATAGGGTAAGAACAGTAGGATATAAAACTCAATTTCGTTAGTCCAATAAGATACAGAACAGTAGGATATAAAACTCAATTTCATTAGTCCAATAAGGTAAGAACAGTAGGATATAAAACTCAATTTCATTAGTCCAATAAGATACAGAACAGTAGGATATAAAACTCAATTTCATTAGTCCAATAAGGTAAGAACAGTAGGATATAAAACTCAATTTCATTAGTCCAATAAGATACAGAACAGTAGGATATAAAACTCAATTTCATTAGTCCAATAAGGTAAGAACAGTAGGATATAAAACTCAATTTCATTTCATTAGTCCAATAAGATACAGAACAGTAGGATATAAAACTCCATTTCATTTCATTAGTTCAATAGGGTAAGAACAGTAGGATATAAAACTCAATTTCGTTAGTCCAATAAGATACAGAACAGTAGGATATAAAACTCAATTTCGTTAGTCCAATAAGATACAGAACAGTAGGATATAAAACTCAATTTCATTAGTCCAATAAGGTAAGAACAGTAGGATATAAAACTCAATTTCATTAGTCCAATAAGATACAGAACAGTAGGATATAAAACTCAATTTCATTTCATTAGTCCAATAAGATACAGAACAGTAGGATATAAAACTCAATTTCATTTCAGACCATCTCCATTTCAATTCATTAGCTCATTAAGGCACAGTAATGATTGTTAGAATTCATAGAGTGACATGATTTTGAAATTAAGTGAAAATTCCATTAACATCTGGCAAGTAATATGTCATCTCTGTTCATGATGAATATTGTTATTACTTTATTACTGTAATATCATGATTGTGTTATCAAATTCCCGTAGAATGGATGTATTGGAAACTTTATTGCTACTCTCTTACAGGGATTGTTAAGAGGTTTTTCCTTGTCTTTGTATGTGTATCAGGGACACTTATAGCTTCCATTTGCACAATTTAGATCTTACTATTTCACTTAAGTTAAAGGGATTGTAAAGAGGTTTTTCTAGTCTTTGTATGACTAAGGTACAAATGGATGGCTAAATCTGTCCCTTTAAAAAATCAATTGAGTGAAAATAGAAAACCTCTTTACAATCCCTATAAAGTAGGTCTCCATTTCAAATATCTTGAATTCCTTAGTCACTATTTGTGGATATCAAAAAATATTAAGTTCCATTTTCTTTTCATTCAGGTACAACAGTGGTTCTCAACCTTTCTCAGCCTTCACACCCCTGGACCTTTCACACCCCCAAAAATTTGTTTCATCCACATTTCCAGCAGGGATGATGTGAGGTGCTCTCTTAACTCAAAATGAATTCTTCTCTTACACCCCCTGACACTCTAGTCCCACACTCCCAGGTTGGGAACCAGGGAGCTACAACAAGCATGTATTTTTATAAGTCGATTCCCTATGAAATATTGTGACATTTTTGAGAGTGGAATCTGTTTTCTACTGATTTTAGTTGAAACGAGAAAATTAGAAACTGTAGTTAATAATTAGCCTAGAGAAATATTTCAACATCTAATTGGTTCGCTACTTTTCCTGTCTCTTAAAATTAGCATACTGGATAACTAGAATATCAAATCAGACTGGATGATAGTGTCAACTTAAAGACTGGTAAACTGCCTCTAAGCATTTGCTATTTCAAATCTTTCAAACTTGATGATTGAAGATTGAAGAAAGATTTGCTTTACCAGCTGATAATAGCTCTTTCTGAAAGAGTCCAAGACATAACTGACTCCATTCCAGCTATTTGTTTGTCTAGTTGTCTGCAGGAGCAGGGTCAGAAAAACTATGCCCGATGTGTGGTGGTTTTTCTGCAACTCAAAAGGCTCCATCATACCATCCTTATTCCAATACACCATTTATATCACGTCTGTGATTCCATCAAATTTATTTTGCATATCCAGGATTATGTGGGGTCACATGTGATCAGAAGGTCACAGGGGATGACAGAGTCAATTGGGATCACTGTGTCAAGTGGGATCACTGTCTCAGGTGAGATCACTGTTTCATGTGGGATCACTATGTCACGTGAGGTCATAGGTTCAAGTGGGATGACAGGGTCAAGTGGGATCACTGTGTCAAGTGGGATCACAGTATCACATGAGATCACTGTGTCAAGTGGGATCACAGGGTCAATGGGATCACAGGGTCACGTGATACACTAGTGTATCATTGTCTGAGATATATTTGTTACTTTATTGCAGTGCTATGAAGGACAGCCGATTTGTACCAATAGCTAAAGAGGAGTTTCCTAAACTACACTGCTCTGTGTCTATTTTAACTAAATTTGAGGAGGCAGATGACTACCTTGATTGGGAGGTAAGAGCTTTGAAGTTTTCCCCATTGGACACTGCATAGCTTCTCTATGGATACTTAGCCAATAATTCAAGAGGAGGCATTTATCAAGACTGAAACTGAAACTATGGTTGGCTTGTAGATGATAAGTTAACGTCTGCTTCCAGTTAAGTGATATTGCAGACTTGAAAATTGGCCATGTAAAATTTCCCCTCATTGGACACTGCATAGCAATCTCTCTATTGATAACATTGCCGATAACAACCAATGATTGTAGATATGACACTGATCAATATTAAAGTTGGCTGGATGAAAAAGTTGACGTCTGCTTCCAGCTAAGTGATATTGCAGACTAGAGCGAGTATCTAGCCTTGGAATACTGCTTTTCTGTCAAAAATGAGACCTACATCTAATTGATAACTGAAATTCTGTTTTTTTATGCCCATTTCAGGTTGGTTGCCATGGTATCAGAATAGAGTTTTTAAATGATAAGGGACACAAAAAGACAGCTACATATTTACCAGAGGTGGCTACTGAACAAGGTAAATTTACGGCAACAAAATTAAATTATTTTACTGGCGTACTGTGATTTGATTAAGCATGCCAACAACATTATCTGAATGCCTGGGTCGATTGGAATAATGAGAAGAGATGACTTATTCAAGATCACCAGACTTTCACACGCATTTTTAGATTAGAACCTGTGACCACCATTCTTTTGGATGTAACACAGCCAAGAACTCAATGTACAGTTCCCTAGCTCTAACAGTCTATGCTATAAAACTGCGGTTCCACAAAATAAAATCCAGAATTTAGGAGATGCAGCAATTTGATTGGTCAACAAAGCTAACTTTGAATTTGAAATCAGTAATTGACCAATCAGATGTAATTCTTATTGTAGAATTTAGGAGATGCAGCAATTTGATTGGTCAACAAAGCTAACTTTGAATTTGAAATCAGTAATTGACCAATCAGATATAATTCTTATTGTAGAATTTAGGAGATGCAGCAATTTGATTGGTCAACAAAGCTAACTTTGAATTTGAAATAAGTAATTGACCAATCAGATATAATACTTATTTTAGAATTTAGGAGATGCAGCAATTTGATTGGTCAACAAAGCTAACTTTAAATTTGAAATAAGTAATTGACCAATCAGATATAATACTGTTATTATTTCTTTCTATTGTAGGTTGGGATAGAATAGAGACTATAGACTCGTTATTAAGGAAAGGAGGATTTAAAGGAACTATAAATACAGAAGTTCGTAAGAGTATACGACTGACTAGATATTGTAGTGAAAAACTCTCTATTAGCTATTGTGACTATATAGCCAATCGGCAAAAAAACGGCCAGCATTCTCATCAATGATAATATCATGTGCAGTCTCTTAATTATAGGCAACCATGTCCATTCAACTCAACCTTGTGGTCTTGTTTGATTGGTTTTAACTAGCTGCTCGGGTTGATGTCTTAGGCTAACTTGACTCAAGCGGAAATCAAACTAGCCCTTTATTGTGTGGTCTTGTTTGATTGGTTTTAACTAGCTGCTCGAGTTGGTGTCTTAATTATAGGCAACCATGTCCATTCAACTCAACCTTGTTGTCTTGGTCGCTTGGTTTTAACCAGCTCCAGCGGTAGTAGAGCACACTTGGCTCAGCCCACATGAAGTTGGTGTCTTGAGCAAACTTGATCGATCTTGTTTGATTGGTTTTAACTAGCACCCAGAGTTGGTGTTGAGGGCTCAGTTGACTAAAAGGTACTCAAACTAGCCCATGTTGTTACTTTTTCTTATGGTCTTGTTTGATTGGTTTTAACTACTAGGTGTAGTTGAGCAAACTTGGCTGAGTCTGTAGTCATGGAAAAGTTGTTAACAAACAAGCCAATGTTGTTGTTATTTTTTATCTTATGGTCTAGTTTGATAGGTTTTAACTGTCTGGTTTAGCTTGAAGTCTTGAGCAAATCAAGAAAGCTGCATGAGAAAGGCATATCAAGCTCAGTCTACTTGTTACTAAGGGATTCAAGTCCTATACTAGGATTGATTCTTGGACCTTCAGGTTAGCATGTGAGCCTCTGACTAGCTGAGTCACATAATCTCTCAGTGACCCCTTTTGCCAAGTTAATTAAACGTTAAGAGGCCAATCCAATACAGCCATTCCATCGTGGCAAAATAAAACAAGACCAATAAATGTGTGCGTATAAATGAAAAAAATAACATTATTTAAAGAGGCAGCACCCATTTTTAATCTGGGATCTCAGCTCAGTGAAAATTGACAAAAAAAATGTCAAAAATTGTCAGAAGTGGGAAAAACATCTGAAAGGAAAATATTTATAAATTCAGGGCATTTTTATTTTCATTTTGTTGATTGAAAACTCACTTTTGTCTTCATTACTCATTGTTCTATTTCAAAAGCTTTTGTGCAAATATTTTGGCAGCATTTAAGTGTTCAAAATTTTTCTTCGGTTTTTCCCTTTTTTTTGCCCCCCTAGTATCTCTTAAAAAAATTATTTTACTATTTTTGACTAAGTTTTGTTATGTTTACCCTAATTTTTTCTTAGTTACATACTGTTTTTTCCTTAATTTTGTGCGCATTGCCATTAACAGCCTAACCTGTTATCCATAACAACAGAAGAGAAACCATATTCTGGACCTGCAAGCAGTCCTAGCAAGGCTCTATTAACCCATTTTGTGTCTCAGAAAAAACATAAACTATCTTCACCAATGGTCGAGGAATTACTTCTTCATCTTATGCCTCGACTGCACTGGCCCACTTTCTTGTATTGGTTGTGAATGCAGCAATTTGATTGGATTGTACACTGTCAAATACAGCCAATCTGAGCCCTCAACAGAAAGACTGAAAAAATTATTACCTGTGAAATCAAGGGCTCTGATTGGCTCTTTTTGCTGGCGTATAGTCCAATCAGGTATAAGATGTAGTTCGTAATAGCTGGACCATTGTGAATTTAAGTTTGGACCTGCAAGCAGATCTAACAAGGTTCTATATAAAAAATTTCCCACCCATATTTTTTTTTCAAAAACATTGTGAATAATTATCCAATGGTTTTTTTTTTTAATTTTCAACCAATGCCTTATGTGAAACTGCTTTTTGATGATCAAATTGTGACCCTTAATGATTCCATCCTTAACCGTTTTTGTTCCCAAGTCATTCGAGTTAAACATCATATTTGAAGGGTACAAAATAACTACATATCTAAACGACCATACTGGCAAAGAGTGCCAGCACTGAAACCACTTTTGTTTGTTCTTTTACTTTGGGATGGTACTGATTTTATCAAGTGAAACTGAGCATAATGAAAATTGCCCAAAGTAAAAAGAAAAAATTAATCATTTATTGTAAATGCATATTTGTATGTTTGTGAAAGTTTCTTTTACACTAGCAAGAATCTGACGACTTCTCTGACAATAGGCCACGCCTACCAGACAAATCTGGCAATTGGCCACGCCTACCAGTTATCTCAGGCATTAGGCCACACCAGACATCTCTGGCAGTAGGCCACACCTACTAGACATCCTATTGATAGGCCAAGCCTACCAGACATCTCTGGCAGTAGGCCACACCTACCAGACATTTCTGGCAGTAGGCCACACCTACCAGAGGTTCTGGTGATAGGCCACGCCCACCAAACATCCTGGTGATAGGCCGCACCTACTTCAGATTCTTGAAAGTGTAAATGAGGCTTTAAATAAAATCTAACATTTGTGAATGAGGTCATCATTTTAACACCTTTTGATTGGTTGCCTTTGAGAGACTGCACGCCCTCTAGTGTTAGGTTATGAATCTATTGTGTTTGCATTTTATTCAAAACATTATTAATATTATATATCATATATTGTACTTCATTGTCATGTTATATGAATGAGAGGATTTGGTGGAGATCCATTTGAATTTGCGTTGTGTTGTTAATATGTGAACTTTCAGGTCCAATGTAAAAACTTAAAAACACAAGAATTTAAGAATAATCCATGAACGAAGACAAAATGAAGTTTTAATTTTTCAGTTTAAAAAATAAGTCGCGTGATTAAAAACCAGAACTGTGGACAGCTCCAAGCGTGGCAATGAGACGTCATCCCATAGATCCATAATAAAAAGTTGAAATTTCGTTCCTCATGCAAATTTTAATGGATTTATATCAAATTGTAATCATGTACTACATTGTCGATTGGAATATTTTAGATTTGCGACTCCACCCTGGAATAGTTGTGGTCTGAGTCCAAAATATTTCAATTGCGATATATCTCACGAGGGTTTTATAAACCTTACCGCATTCTTATATTCTTTATGTTGTGAACTAATATTTGGTTTGACATTTTTTTTAAATTTTTTATTCAAAGTAGGAGTAGGTTATTTTAGATATAGAAAGCAAAAAGTGTTTAATTTTAGTAAAAATCAAGTAAGATTTCTAACATTAAATCCAAAATTAGATCCAAAATCATGAAACCTACCCATTGGGACATTTTTGTTGTGTTCCTTAACATTAGACACTTTGAGCTTTTGGTTTATTAAAGTTTTTTTGATTTTTTAATTCAGGCCATCATTGGTGATTCAATTAGCTTTCACAAACTACTAGCTCTACAAACCTTCTGGATATGTTGCTTGGTTGTCAAATGTCTTTGATTTCTTGATCCAAACAGTTTTCATTATATTTAAGGCATATTTTCATCCAGATGTTTGGTTACCAGCTGTAGGGAGACAATTTTATTTATCTGTCACTTTTGAAAATCCTAATTTATATGTTCTAAGGTCAACTGAATTTATCATATTTAAATATTAAGCCAAGAACAGAATCACTTTCAGATATGAGGCATTTAAATATTTGCTTTACCAGCTGATAGAGCTATCTGTAATCCTTTTGAAAACCAATATCCGACATAACGTCCCAAAAATTATCATTTGGCAAAGCAAATATTTAGGAGGCAGTATACCTTTTAGGAAGTCTTTGAATATAAGGCTAATATTATATATCCCTTTACGCTTGTCCATTCTTTAAGTAGCTCAGTAACTTGATTTTTGATTTTTGATTTTTGATTTTTTTTTTATTGAATGATGGCTGTGGCCAATGTCTTTATATTTTGTTTTGCTGTAACATTATAACAGTTTTGAGTTTTAGAAATGATATTTTATATACTGTAGAAATGTTGCACTTATTAAAGTTGATTCACTAAGTTGTTATGAAATGGGTGGGTAATGGGGGAGGAGTTTACAAATGTGTGGGAGGAGTTAAAAATGGGTGGGGGAGTTTAAAATGGGTGGGAAGAGTTTAAACTTGGTGGGAAGAGTTTAAAATTGGTGGGAAAAGTTTAAACTTGGTGGGAAGAGTTTAAACTTGGTGGGAAGTGTTTAAACTTGGTGGGAAGAATTTAAAATTGGTGGGAGGAGTCAAAAATGGGTGGGTAATATTCTGTGTGTCCCGAAATTTCATGGTAGTTTTAATGTGTCCCGAAATTTCACTGAAGCTTTATTGTTTCCTGCAATTTCACGTAGCTTTAATATGTCCAGAAATTTCACGATAGCTTTAATGTGTCCCGAAATTTCATGGTAGCTTTAATGTGTCCCGAAATTTCATGGTAGCTTTAATGTATTCCAAAATTTCATGGTAGCTTTATTGTGTCCCGAAATTTCATGGTAGCTTTCATATGTACTGAAATTTCATGACAGCTTTATTATGTCCCGAAAATTTCATGGTAGCTTTAATATGTCCCGAAAATTTCATGGTAGCTTTAATATGTCCCGAAATTTCATGGTAGCTTTAATATGTCCCGAAATTTCATGGTAGCTTTATTGTGTCCCGAAATTTCATGGTAGCTTTAATATGTCCTGAAATTTCATGGTAGCTTTAATACGTCCCGAAATTTCATGGTAGCTTTAATATGTCCCGAAATTTCATGATAGCTTTAATATGTCCCGAAATTACATGGTAGCTTTAATGTGTCCCGAAATTACATGGTAGCTTTAATATGTCCCGAAATTTCATGGTAGCTTTAATGTGTCCCAAAATTTCATGGTAGCTTTAATGTATTCCAAAATTTCATGGTAGCTTTAATGTATTCCAAAATTTCATGGTAGCTTTAATGTGTCCCGAAATTTCATGGTAGCTTTCATATGTACTGAAATTTCATGACAGCTTTATTATGTCCCGAAAATTTCATGGTAGCTTTAATATGTCCCGAAAATTTCATGGTAGCTTTAATATGTCCCGAAATTTCATGGTAGCTTTAATATGTCCTGAAATTTCATGGTAGCTTTATTATGTCCCGAAAAATTCATGGTAGCTTTAACATGTCCCGAAAATTTCATGGTAGCTTTAATATGTCCCGAAATTTCATGTTAGCTTTAATGTAGCTTTAATATG